GCCCTGTTTCTTAATAGCGACTGATTGATCAATTGTATGATTACACAGGCCAACAGCTATTTCGGTGCCGGGGTATTCGCAGCAAATTTTATATGAGTTTGATGCCCTGAACTCAAATATACCGTTAGATTTTGCCAATCAGCTCGCATTTTTGAGATATATCATTTTAATGAATAAGAAGCGCCGTTGAGGGGGCTAGGGAGCGATGGCTCCTTTACCCTAAAAAACAAAAAAATTTTATACCTTTTATGAAAATGGTTTTTATCCTTTTGAAAAGGATTTCGATTGGGATCAAATTAACAAAATAAACATGAAATTTTGATTAAATTTTGATTATTATGCTATAGAAATGTATAACTATATGGTATATTACACTCTATTATATATATATATATATATATATATATATATATATATATATATATATATATATATATATATATATATATATATATATATATATATATATATATATATATATATATATATATATAGTTATTGTATGTAAAGACAAAAGAAAAAAAAATTTGTGAAACAAACTATAGTTACTAAACAACCCAAAAACTTCTTTTCCGTGACATTCTTGAATGTATTTTAGAACAATCTCTTTTTAAATTCCAGCAGTAATCCGCCATCATGTGCGTATCCCATCTTCCTTGGTACCAATCCTCCATAGTTTTAATATCTTGGTGAAATCTTTCACCTTGCTCCTCACTCATGTTTCCTAAGTTTTTAGGAAAACGATCTAAATGGCTGTGTAAATAGTGCACCTTAATACTCATATTACATCCGAGGGATTTGAAACTGCTAAGCATGTCGTCAACCAGTTTAACATAGTTTTCATCTTTGCGTTTGCCCAGAAAATTTCTGACAACTGCAACAAATGAAGTCCAAGCCTTTTGCTCAGTTTCATTCATTGAATTCACGAAGGCAGAGTCATTAATAAATTGTCTTATTTGCGGACCATCAAATACTCTTACTTTAATTTTTTCTGTACTCAACTGTGGCATCTTTTCCCCAATATATCCAAAACACAATCCGTTTTTATCAAGAGCCTTTACAAACTGCTTCATAAGGCCCAGCTTGATATGCAGTGGAGGAAAAATGGTTTTATCTTGTTCAACTAAAGCGTTGTTAATTAAATTATTTTTCCCAACTTCCATGTTTTTTCTCTTAGGCCATTCTTTTTTAGTCCAGTGGTGTGTTTTGTCCCTGCTATCCCAGAGACACAAAAAGCAAGGACATTTAGTGTAACCAGCTTGCTGTCCCAGGAGAAAGTTAACCATTTTTAGGTTTACACAAATCACCCATTGATGTTGCTGATACTTTAGCTTTTCCAAGATTAAAGCAATAGTTTTGTATTCTTCTTTCATTTTTGTTGAGTGAGCAATTGGTATTGAACCAAATTTGTTTCTCATCTTTTCTAGGAGTCCTCTAAATCGTGACAAAATACAAGATCCTCTTCTTGAGAGAAGAAGGGTAGCAGATCCTTTTCTCGTGTACGGTAGAAAGTAATTTTGGTTCCTTGTTCCAGTAAATTTTTGTCCTTCAATCTGGAAGCAAGTAACTCAGAAGCTTCTTTTGATAGATTGAGATCTCTGGTAAGGTCATTCAACTTATCTTGGTTGAATTGTTGTGGAATAGATGCCTTTCCCACATAATCACTGTCAATTTCATTAGTATCAAAAGAATTAGAAGCACAATATTCATCTTCGCAGAGCTCTGGTAGCTGGAGAAACGTTGGGATTGGAACTTCCTCTGACTGAAGAACCGGTCGTCTTGCAGATAATAAATCAGGATAAGTCCACTTGCTACGGTTGTTTCGATTGATTCCAGTAATATTTAATATGCAGAAATAACAATCGTTGAAATGGTTTTGTGGTTCTCTCCAAACCATTGGCACGCCGAATTTCATACTTTTTCTTTTCCCGGTAGTCCACTGTCGTAAATGTTCTGTACAAGTTTTACAGACCTGATGTGGGGCCCAGGTTTTATCTTGATCCCCAAGCCTAACGCCAAAGTATGCAAGATAAGCCCTCTTTAAAAAGTCACTAACTTTTTTTCTGTTTTCTTTTAACATATATTCTCCGCATATGTAGTAAAACACATCAGGGTGATTCACACAACTTCTTCTATTTGAACTCATTTTATCTAGATCAAAATACAAAAATGCAACAACAATTTACAACACAATACTATTTAGGTTAACTTAACAACAACACTTCAGAAAATAAAAATATCACGCGACACCAACTTTCATCTATTCCGCACGGCAACAACTCTCATACTAATCTCAATTATAGTTGAAGTTCACTTAATTTACAGTATGGTTACTCCATCTAGTGGATTTTCCTGTTGCAAACAGACCAATAAACTGAATATATAACAAATATATAGAATACAGTAACCAAACATTGTCTATATGAGTTACAACATCACTAAATGGAGTTAAAACTGTTAATTTCATGTAAAATCGCACCTTAAATTTATCTCAAAAACTAGAGCTGATAGAGAAAAACTTCAAATTCAGATTCAGCAACAAAAATATAGCTAAAATCAATTATTAAATCTTAGGCACCAAAAAACTTTTTTTTTTTTGTAGGCCTGTGTTATTATTAGCACAAGTTAAAGAAATACTATGTGTTTCATTTGATAAATGTCATGTACACTACTATCAAAAGTTGAAGGAGTTGCTCCGTCATGAAGAAGAGTTGTCTTATAACTTTTTGAAACTTCTGTTGTAGAACCAGGATTTCCAACAGACTCCCAAGTGTAATCAAAGTGACATTCCCCACTTCTTGTTTTAACCATGTTAATTTTTAAGACAGGACCTAGAAAGATAATATTATAAGTACCAAATGTTATATTGATTTAACAAAATGTTCAAATTTGCAAAAGCTAAAATTTTTAGCATATGTTAAAAACCATATGTTAATATTTGCAACCAAACCTTAATTCTAGGCGCGGGTAACGCATGTGGTAATGTTCAGGACCTGGAAGTTACGAAGTAAAAATAGTGGATATTCCAAGTAAATTTCAGGTCATCTCTGCAATATTTAGTTTATTTAAAACACTTAATCTAATCAAGCACGTATTAATAGATGGACGTTTAACTAATTGTTTAAAAGCCAAGATATGCGCGTTAGCAATTATTAGAGATCGCGAGGTTAGAATTATTTTGTTTTATCTTAACATTTTTTTGTTTTGAGATAAAACGATTTAAAAAACAAAAACTTTAGGAGACGGCATATAAAAAGATTTTTGTTACTGATGTTTTCTTCGAAACTTTTTTGATTTTAACATTATTTTGAGGTAGATGACACAATCAATAACTCGATTTTTTCAAAAAGTGGAGATAGAACTTAATAATTCTAACCTCGCAAAATAACAATAGCCAAACAATAGGTAATATTTGTGTCACCTGTAAGTACTTTCTATGATTATACATTCTTAATTTACTAAAAGTTCTTATCTTTGGGTAAGTTGGGCAGAAAACAACTTTAAGCATAATCTACCATTTCAAACAAAACAAACTTTATTACACTAACAGAATAAACTATACACAACAAAATAAAACTATAACTTAAAATGTACACTACAACATATTTACTCGGTTGAGTTAATATAAGGATAAGCTATTTTAAAAGCAGCGAATTAAGTAGCAAGAAACTAACAAAATTTCATTGACAGATATTTCTTTAACTATAATTTCTTTGAGGTCAAGGTTGTGGGTCAAATGAATATCTTTTTGTTGATGTAGTGGTATGTTCACTGACTTATTAGCAATCAAAGATAGTGGGAGAGATTGAGTGATGGGCGAAATAACATCAAATTACCCTAGCGTAAGTTATAGGAGAATACTTTTTAAGTTCACTTGCTGCAAATTTACTTTCAAGAGTTTTATGTCCATTATGTGAAGCTCATTGGAGCAAAAATGAGAGACATTATTCCACCTGACCAATATGAAAAAATATGCTGAAAACATTTACTATCTTATATAAAACTTGAATGATACAACAATTCAAATGATAGACTGAAACAAAGATTTAAATCAGCAAAGACAAAGTTTGAAATGGTCGCAGATCAAATACAGTTTCTAAAAAGTGGTTGTATAGCCAGTGAGAAATCGGCTAGCGACTACCTAGCGATATCCGTAATGATAAAGACAGCGAAACCAATCTAATACAAGACGCGTTAACTATTTTTACCAGATCTCTATTTATACCACCCAAACTTTTATCATTTTTTGCTTGTGGCTTTTTTTTTTTCGTTTTTTGGTATTATCTAAAACAATTTTGCTGATAACTACAAAGCTGCGATATGTAGCAAATAAGTACGTTATGTTATTGTTAGCTACAATAAAAGCTAACGATAACATAAATTCGATTAAAACATCCCCAAACCATATACTTCTCTGTGTTTTACGGCAGTTATAGCAGATCCTAAATACAAAATTGCTATTTAGAATAAATAGCAATTTTGTATTTAGGATCATAACAAACCTGTTTCCATTTTATTCAAACCGCATAAAATTACTTTCATCACTAAAAGGAATTCGAGCTGGAGCAAAAATATTCCTAAAATTTTTATCCTCGACCCCAAATATGATTTAGTAAATTTATTCAAATGTCCTATACAAAAGATAATTTGTAGTTGAATAAATAATTTATTCAACTATCCAATACTAAAAATGTACTCATATCTTTTATTAACTACTTCTTTTAACTTTATATAATAATCTTATAGTTTTTGCTTACACTTATTTGACATAAGTGTAAGCATATAAATGTTTAGAGTTTGCACTATGTCTGGAAGTTAGCTATCTCAAACACCAAAAAATCCTGGATCCGTCACTGAATATCATAATAGTTTTATCATCGTAAAATTAAATGATAACTTAAATTCCTTATAACATTTAAAATTAAACTGTTATTGAAAATATTTGAAAAAGTTGGTTATATTATAAAAATTTTTAAAAACATTTATCAAAAATCTTTTAGGATATGACTTCATTGGAAATAATCTTCACTTTCATCATAAAGAAATCTACTACAAATCAAACAGGTTAATAAAATCTATATCTATCTTGGACCACGAAAACATATTGCTAAATAGTTTTTTGCAAGAAAAAAAGATATTCAACAACACCCATAAGCTAACTTGTACTAAAGTATTGACAAAAGTATCAACAAAAACTTGTAGTGATTTTAAAAAAATAACGGACAAACAAGTTATTGACTCAAAAAAGGTATTAAATGAAGAAGTTATTGACTCAAAAAAGGTATTAAATGAAGAAGATATTGACTTAAAAGAGAAAAACAAATTTTCTATTGATACAGGGTTTTTAACTGGAATGTTTAGCTCAAAAACAACACTGCAGCAAAATGGTTTTTCAAACGGGTAAGAGTTATATCATTAAAGTATATCTGTTAAAATTATTTAAAATTTTGGATTTTGATGAGACAAATTTTTAATAAGAAAGAATGTAAACGGGAACCACGTTATTAAAGTAAAAAATGTTTATGAATACTACTTTTGTGTTTTTAGGCGCAGTCTTGTATGCCATGGAGGAAAAGGTTTATCGTTTTGCTCGTTGTTTGATGAGAACGATGATATATTTTCTTAAAACTTTATTTTCATCAACATTTGTAAACATTAAAGTTTTATTCAAAATAAATGGTATATAAATATTTTTACAACGATTAGTAGCAAAATTTAATTGCAAGGTCCTTTAAAAAACGATTAGTTTTAAATAATTTTAAAAATTTGACTCTACAAATTTTAAAAGAAAGGAAGCAATTGAATTCTTGATTAATATTTTGGTACAAAAATAAAAAAACTCCTACAAATAAAGTTTTACTTTTATATATATATATATATATATATATATATATATATATATATATATATATATATATATATATATATATATATATATATATATATATATATATATATATATATATATATATATATATATATATATATATATATATATATATATATATATATATATATATATATATATATATATATATATATATATATATATATATATATATATATATATATATATATATATATATATATTGTGATCGTCGTAATATCATAAAATAAGTAATTATTTTTAAAAATAACACGATGTTTTTTATTCTTGACATGTTTCGTAAAGTTTTAATTAAATTTTCAAAAGATTATTTTACAATAATAAAACTCTGAAATAAATATTATAAAAAAGAAGTCTTTACAGAGAAATAATAACGGACAAAAATTTACATAATGAACCAATATATTTAGGCATTTAGGAAATAACTCAGTAAATAACTAATCAAAATAACTGTCAAAAAAAAATTAATGATAATGATAAACTGACAGAAAAATTAAATAGATAAGTTTATAGCATATTCTGAAGTTTGTTCATTGAGGGACTTTCCCATTTAATGTGGAGGGCTTCTTTTATCTTTAATTTGTGTTTGGTTGGGGCATTATCCAAAATCTCAAGAGAATCACAGTTAGCCAGATTTTTGCAATAAACAGATAAATTTAAGTTTAAATATATGAGATTGTTTATCACTTTTAATCTGCTTTTAATCATTTATTCTAGTTGCCAAATGTCTGGAGGTTTCACCAATATAACTGGCATTACAGCCAGCGCAAGAAAATTTATAGACAACATGAGATATAAGCAATTTAGGAAGTGACTCTTTTAAGTAAAAACAATCTTGTATTTTATTAGTAGTGAAAATTAATTTTATTAAAATATCCTTGCAATATTTATGAACAATTTTTGAAATTTTCATTTTAGTATAATTAGAGTATATTCCAATGAATGGAAGCTTAAAGTATCTTATATTTAAGCTATTAACAATGTTAGAAACAGATGGGTTCATTTTCTTATCAATATAGGATTTAATTTCAGGTTCAATAATTTTTTGTGGAAATTTATTATTTAGTAAAAGTAATAATAGATTCTTAACATCTTTATCAAAACCAACCCAAGTATAATTAATTTTAAATGTACGATCAATCAAACAACGAACAAATCCAAATTTATAGCAAGAAGGAATAAAACTTTTTGTAAAAGACCTGTATATGTTTTTTTGTGATAAACTGAAGTCAATAATGAATTGGATTTTTTAATAAGTACATCTAAAAAGGCAAACTGATTATCTTGTTCTTTTTCCATAGTAAATTTCAAATTTTTATGTTGTTCATTGAGGTGTTTGAAAAATTCTTGAGCTTCATATTCAGAATTAAAAATGGCAATTATATCATCCACATACCGTTTATAAAAAATGGTGCTGTAAAGGAGCAGTTATTGATCCATGTTTGTTCATGAAATCCTACAAAAATATTAGCTAAGATGGGCACTAAAGGAGAACCCATAGCAACACCATCCGCTTGATTGTAATATTTTCCGCCAAATAAAAAATGTGAACCAGATGTGGAAATCTGAAGTAATTTTTTAAACATAATTTTTTGAAAAACGTTTTAAGTTAATTTTATCTTTAAAAAATAAATCAGTTGCTGTGTTAATGGTTTCCTTAAGTGTAATCCTTAAGGTTAATGGTTAAGTGTAAATAAAAAAATAAAAGTGTAAATCCTTAAGGTTAATGGTTTCCTTAAGTGTAAATAAATCAGTTGCTGTGTTAATGGTTTCCTTAAATTCATGAACAAACTTTCAACATTATATAAAACGATAAATTTATGAGTTACATTAATTTGTTTTAATTCTTCAACAAAAGAAAATGAGTCTAAAGTGCAAAATTGTTTAAGTATATGAGGAGACAATAAATGAGAAAGATGTTTGGCAAGATTGTAATTATATGTTCTGGCTGTAATGCTAGTTATATTGGAGAAACCTCCAGACATTTGGCAACTAGAGTAAATGAGCAGATTAAAAGTGATAAACAATCTCATATATTTAAACACTTATATTTGAAAAATGAGTTGCATATTTGAAATCAAAATGAGAAATACTATAAAAAAACTAACTGTTTGATCGGCACCAGAAAAAAAAAATTTTAGTTTTTAACGGTTTTTTATTTTGTAAATTTTGAATAATATGGCTAAATGATTTCCGAATGACATGAAACTAATAATTCCATAAAAGTTATACTTTTATCATTTAAATTATATATATATATATATATATATATATATATATATATATATATATATATATATATATATATATATATATATATATATATATATATATATATATATATATATATTGTGGTAATTGTGTAAATATTTTTTGTTAATAATAAAAGTAGAGCAATATATAGTAAAAACTAAATAATTATAAATCATCATATGTTACAAATCTCAAAAAACAACGACAAAAAAATATATATTAAAAATATTGTAGAGTGTCCTTTTTGACGACATTAAAATTATTTATCATGTATTTATTTTCATGGCGACACTTAGACATAAGTTCGTTTGACTTATTTAGTAAAAGTAATGGGGATGAAATTATATGGTATTTTTCCATCAAGCATAAATTGCATGACTTACCACCAGGTTTAAACGGTTCAGCCTGGTCTAAAATTTTCCATAAAAGGACAGGATTTAAACCTTTCTTTTTAACACTCCAAACAAATTTAGAAAGTTCAGTAGAGTTTGACCCACTTTCATAACGAAAGGAACTTTTATGCTTGTAAAAGCGATCTTCAAAAGTTTTTTCTGTAAGCCTAATATAATAGCTACCTTCATCTTGAGGGTTTTTATTAAACATTTTCCATTAAGTGGACATAAATTAATCTGTCGGCAATTGCACATTGGAGCATTAAAGTGTGAAGAATTTGATAAAATTATATTGTTATGTGAAGTGATGATGTTGCAAATATTATTTTTTGGTTTATTCTTTGGTTCACGCCAAATATTTTATTCAAATTTCAGATAAGACAACTGGTATTATTTACCATTCTAGAAAATCCTTACTTTTTACAAGAAATAATATGTGGGTTAAAAAATTAGGAGATTCCGATTTTAAATTAAATATAGTTATTTAATTTTTGCATTTATTTTAAAAATCAACATGTTTTACATTCTAATACTTTTTATTTATTTTTTTCACTGAATTCACCTCCACAAGGCTGAGGGGGTCTTTTAAAATGTTGAATATAACTCTCTTTCAACTCAAGATCGCTGAGCGATCTTGAGTTGAAAAACAAGTTGAGTGTTGTAGAACCAGGGACGTGATGGGTTGGAGCTAAAAATTTGACGCTTAAAAGGTGAATCCTTTATAATTACGTTTAAAAGGTGAGTCCTTTATAATTACGCTTAAAAGGTGAGTCCTTTATAATTATACCACTACTAATTCAACCTACTTTAACAATATTGTCTCTTATGCAACAATGAAAATAAATGAAATGAATAAAATTGAAAAAAGATTTACTTGTTTAAGACTTAAAATAAAGAAATATTATGTTAAAACTAGACTGATACAGAATAGGTCTAGTTTGCAGCTCTTAAAAGTGGAGTTGAAACTGGTGAAATAGGTTGGATGATTTGTTAAAATTCAGATGCTTTGTTAAAATTCAGTTTTAATTGAGAGTTTGAGATTCAAGATCTATGAAAAAATTTGCAATCCAAACTTATAAAAACCCTTCTCTTGCTCGCATTCTGTCATCATACTTTTGAATTATACCTCGAGTCATTTTAGAAAACTTTATTTCATGAACAGACAATAACTGTTGTTTATATAAATTTTACAATTGTTAAAATCGAATTTCTAAATTAGAGAAAATTTTGTCCAATAGGTACTTTGATATCAAAAAACCTTCCTTAAAAAATGAAAAGTAATAACGTATTAACTAAAGTATCACACGCACACACACACACATATATGAATATATATGTGGCCCTCGATATATTATTATGAATTCAGATTGTTTTTATAAAGATATTGATATCTTTATAAAATCTACCTGGTATTTGTGCAATGAATGCTTTGATATTTTTGATTTATGATTTAAAAAAGGTTAGATTAGATTAGATTAAAATTTATTAGAACAGTGATACATGTTCTAAAGGACACGCAGGTCCATAAAATATGGAGGACTCTGACAACGTGCCCTACAATCACATAATACATATACGAGATAATTTAAAATATATATTACAATTATATATAAGACCATAGTTATAAAACAAAAACAAGTTAGCCGAAACAGTATTTTTCAAAGTCGATAGAGTTAATTTTAATTTTGAAGCTCTTTATATTTTTGGCGTTCACGACGTCAGACGGCAAGTTATTCCAAATATTAACAACCCTGAGTGAGAAAGAGTATTTACGGACATCGAGTTTACATTTTAGTTTGCGTAATTTGAAATTATGTCCTCGAGTGTAAATATAGTTGTTAAATAAAAAGAAACTTGATTTATTTAGGCAAACTAAATTGTTCAGAATTTCGTAACATGTAATCATGTCTTGCTTAAGGCGACGAATTTCTAGTAGTTCCCAAACCAAGAATTCTAAGTCTACTTGAATATGAAACATTATTTAGGTTAGAAATTCTTTTGGTGAAACGTCTTTGTACTCTTTCCACTGTATTGTTCATTTTAGTGCGATTTGGCGACCAAACCGGAGAGCAATATTCTAAGATCGGTCTTATATAAGTAGTGTAGGTTTTAACGATAACACGTGGATCACGACTTTTAAAACACTTAAGGTTTAGAT